CTCTCTTAAAATGTTTCATAGAAGAATAATTTAATTAAACGATTAGCGTGTTGATTAATCGTCTAGTCTATTTTTGACTTATTAATATCGTTATCATATCGGTTATTATATCGATTTGTGATGCAATTTAATGTAATTTTTCAAAATTTATAACGATTCGATAAAAATGTATTTAATGAGAATAAAATTTAGATGCACCAGACAATTTATTTATAGAATACATAATGTTTTTTTTTCTTTATTTAAACTGAAAATTTTCTAGGCTTATAATAATTTGAATAATAATTTATAATCGCTTTCCGAATTTTCTGAAAAATAATTTATTAAATAATTATTTTTAATTATTCCCCTTTCATATTAAAATCTAAATTCCTTATTATGAGACGTGAATCTAATATTCATGCAGCTCTTAATGTCCGTCGCTCGAAACAGACAGGCAACTTTTAAAACACCCTGCGCACCGCACCCTGTACGTAGGCCGAGATTGCTAGGGCAGTATCATACACCCTTTATTGATCTAAAAGGCGGACTCGCGGGATGGATTACCTGGGCCGCGCGATACGATTCGATTTGACGAGTTCATTGGAAGGCGGCCGAGTTAGCCCTCTAATTAAACTCACTCGAATCGACATAATCGAGTGGCGAAAACATTCTTTCGCCTTTTTACGCGGCAATTCGCAATCGCCTCGGCGGGAAATAACCGCGCATACTCGATCCGATACCACTCATATTTATAGACGTACGTCGAGAGAGAGAGGGAGAGAGAGAGAGAGTTCACGAGCCCTGCGTGGGTCTCTCCTTGAAACGAATCAATACCCTTTGTGGCTTGCGAAAGGTCCTCTGTCCTCGCGTCAATATTTATTGCCTCTTTAATGTCCAATCAACGCGCTGTGCGCGAAGTTTCCCTCGTATTTTAATATAAATATAAAAGAAAATTGATATTACAATTATATAATTTGATAAAAGACATACTTTATAGTATTAAATATACATAGTCTCTTTGTGTAAAAAAATATATTTGTCTAGATATTATTAAAGATTATTCTGATACACATTTTCTATTCACGCATAGATATATCAATAGATATAGCAATAGATATTTTATTAATAAATTATATGCGGACTCAAGCGGTAATTCTCGTTTCCCGTGTGTTAATAAACATTTATGCTGAAATTGCATTTAATTTTTTTTATTAAACTTTTTGCTAAAATCTATATTTATGTAATTTACACGTCTTTTACATCGTACGTAGAGCTATAACATTATTGCGGTCTCATATTAATATTTAAATTACCATTGCGTACATATTCAAACAAGCAGCCGATAGAAAGCAGCTTATTTATAAAACAATATTTTTAGAATTGTCTATAGCCAAACTACACGTATAGAGGCTCAACACTAGCTTATAAGGGTCTCCCTTGAGTCTATAATGTACAACCGATTTAACAGCGGAGACTAGTTTATATACAGATATTGCGTCGTGTTCTACAACGAAAGGGAGAAGAACACGATATTAGATTAAAATCGATACACCATTTTTTTTCTGTCTACCGCTCGATCAATTTTGAATCGATCACCTCTGAATTTTCAACGATTTATTTTCGCAGGTAGCTAGAACCTCGACATCATGGGCAAGGAAAAGATCCATATAAACATCGTGGTGATCGGCCATGTGGACTCTGGCAAGTCGACGACGACCGGTCACCTGATCTACAAATGCGGCGGTATCGACAAGCGGACGATCGAGAAGTTCGAGAAGGAGGCGCAGGAGATGGGTAAGGGCTCCTTCAAGTACGCCTGGGTGCTGGACAAGCTTAAAGCGGAGCGCGAGCGCGGCATCACCATCGATATCGCCCTGTGGAAGTTCGAGACGGCCAAGTACTACGTCACCATCATCGACGCGCCCGGTCATCGCGATTTCATCAAGAACATGATCACCGGGACCAGCCAGGCGGACTGCGCGGTGCTGATCGTCGCCGCCGGTATCGGCGAGTTCGAGGCCGGGATCTCGAAGAACGGGCAGACTCGCGAACACGCGCTTCTCGCCTTCACGCTGGGCGTGAAGCAGCTGATAGTCGGCGTCAATAAGATGGACATGACCGACCCGCCGTACTCGGAGACCCGCTTCGAGGAGATCAAGAAGGAGGTGTCGTCGTACATCAAGAAGATCGGCTACAACACCGCCTCGGTCGCCTTCGTGCCCATCTCCGGCTGGCATGGCGACAATATGCTCGAACCGTCTCCGAAAACCCCCTGGTACAAGGGCTGGAAGGTGGAGCGCAAGGACGGCAACGCCGATGGCAAGACGCTCATCGAGGCGCTCGACGCCATCCTGCCGCCCTCCAGACCCACCGATAAGGCACTGCGATTGCCGCTTCAGGATGTTTACAAGATCGGTGGGATTGGAACCGTGCCTGTCGGCCGCGTAGAGACCGGTATCCTGAAACCAGGTGAGTATGGCGAATAAATTGGAAAAATAATCATTTTATTATATATAACTGTCCTCGGATATAACTGTCTCTGTCTTCAAAGATCAATGTGAAATCTTCAGCTAACTGATTTGCAATTTTAAGGTATGCTGGTGACCTTCGCGCCGGCGGCCCTCACTACTGAGGTGAAATCCGTCGAGATGCATCACGAGGCGCTGACGGAGGCCCTGCCAGGCGACAACGTCGGCTTCAACGTGAAGAACATCTCCGTGAAGGAGCTGAGGCGCGGCTACGTGGCCGGCGACTCCAAGAATCAGCCGCCGCGCGGAGCCGCCGACTTCACCGCCCAGGTCATCGTGCTGAACCATCCGGGACAGATCAGCAACGGTTACACACCGGTGCTCGACTGTCACACCGCCCATATCGCGTGCAAGTTCGCCGAGATTAAGGAGAAATGCGACCGTCGTACCGGCAAGACCACCGAGGAGAACCCGAAGAGCATCAAGAGCGGCGACGCGGCCATCGTGATGCTGCAGCCGACCAAGCCGATGTGCGTCGAGGCCTTCCAGGAGTTTCCACCCCTGGGCCGTTTCGCAGTCCGCGACATGCGTCAGACCGTAGCCGTGGGTGTTATTAAGGTAAACGAATTATCTTGCAAGGGAGAAATATGATAAGACTGGACCAAGTCTGCTTGTGAGATCGTAGGTACATCTTATGAATTATAAATTTATTCCACTCTTATAAAGTAATTGTTTTGATTTTGAATTAACAGATCGCAAAGATATCGTCATGACATTTTTTTACTTCATGCATAATAATCACTTCATCATTATAAAATATAAAAAAATCTCTATCTATATTCTATTAATTTTAAATTTGCGATTAATAACAATTCAAAAAGTACCTGTGAAAATAATCTGCTATGCATAAATTATCGTAATAAAAAATTTAATTTCGTGCAAAATTTAATTTTCTTTATAAATGAATTCTCTGTTGCTCTTAATCAATTTTATCGTTTTTTCCTATAGAAATTAATTTAGAGAAGAAAGCAATTTTATTTTTGACATATATTTAAAAAAAAAACGATAAAATTATAAAACGACAAATTTTAATAAAAATTAATTTGGAAAAAAAATATTACGGAATATCGATTGTTTCAAAATATTAATTATAATGATCGCACGAAATGAGAGAATATTGAACGATTCGTTTTCTCGCAGAGCGTCACATTCAAAGACACCCAAGGCAAGGTAACAAAGGCCGCGGAGAAAGCCCAGAAGAAAAAGTAACCATCAAGCTTCCTCGGAAGCTCGCAGTCCGCCGAATGGTGCCCCGTGTCAGCAGGCGTCCCCGCCGTCCCCGCGCAGCGGGGGCCCCCCGTCAGGACGCAGCACGCCACCGCGGTGGCTGCCCCTATGCTCGACTCATACTACTCGTCGACTAATACCAAAAGTCATAAGATGTTGTGCTTACCCCCGTTACATTACCCGGTAGTGTTAAACCCGCGCATCTATCCGAACCTGCACATTCAGTTCACCCACGCCCCGCGCACGCCTCACATATGCTAGGGGGACGCGTCGCCTCGCGTCTTACCGCGTTTATCATTAATTACTCGATATTGACGATATGTGTCCGATATTACCAGGTACTCAGTTCCCTTGGACTCTGTGTAGTTAGGTTTTTCAATTGACGATACAACATCCGGCAAACAACAACAAACGGGGTGTCGCCAAGACAGCCACGCCTGGGATCTTCTCGTCCTCGTTCAGCGGGAGGGAAGAGCGAGACAGCGGCTGCATCGCCCTTCTTCGTCCGTCGAATATCTCATCGATGTATCAACGAGACAATGTCGCTACGAATATTTCCGCCACGACGACGACGACGACGAGGAGGCGAGCACCGCTGGCTCGCGCGTCCCAGCAAGACTTCACTCGATCGATTCTTTTCGAAGGGTTCGTTAAGGCTGATTTGTTCCGAGACTTGGTTGCCTCGCTGTGCGCGCGATTAGTTTTATTATACTTATAAGATACTTAACTGTAGTTAGGGATCATTAGAGACTATATGCTCCCCCTTCATCGTCAACGAGTCGCCGGCTACCTCCCCTCTCTGAAGGCGAAGAATCACCTTCTTGGAGAGGATGAGACATCCGTCGCGAGTCGCCCATGTTAACCTCGGCGCTCTACCCTCCCGCTGACCATAGACGCGTTCTATGATATTGTTTTGACCCTTAGCCAGTATTATGTTGATGTAATAAAAAAATCTTTAATTGCATTTTTCAGTGGTCTCTTTATTTTCTTCCCGATTATATTGCGTATTTTCTCGTAATTTCGCAATAGATGGCAAATAATTGTTATTAATCCTAACTGGGCAATTTGAATTACGAAAAGTAAGATAGAGTAAAATAAGATTTTCTTTCTCTTTCATTCATCTAATTATGATTTCAACGCAAAAGAGGATCATGTATAAGTATGACATGAAAAAGATAATCGGCGCTAGAAGGGCACTCTTTTATATATGGTAAATATAATTTATTCCGCATAAATTCTTTGTTGAAGTTACAACTATAGACATGGTATATACAAATATATTTAATGCAAGTGATCTCTTACAAGAATTTTAGTGTAATGCAGGTCTTGGTCAGTCTTTAATTGCTGAGGCCCGTTTTTCTTTGGCGGGGCATCGAGCAGACTCAATCCTCTCGTAATCGAACATGACACAGGATTATTATTCGCAGAAAAAAAATAATGAAACACTTTTGCTTCGTATGTATACATACGGGAAATTACATATGTGGAATTCGTGAATCGATATATGTAGGCACTTTTACGCCAACTTACATCTCGGAAAATTGTCGGTTTACGGATCGATTCATCGGGATTTCGAAAATACTCTAGATAAATCAAGTTCTGTCAGATTGATAACATTCATCTATTTGTCATGCATTTGCTGTATTAACCTAACAGAAATTAATTTTTCCATGCGTTACATAAAGAATCAACTTGTTTCCGAATCCCAACTTGAAACACGACATGTGTCTCTCTCCACCGAATAGTCAATATACAAAGATTAAGATTCGATATCCGCAATTAGTACTGTAAAAAGTGGAAAGATAACATGATCAGAGAGGTAATAACCGAATAAAATAATTCAATATTAAAGAATTCCAAATCATTTTACGCTCTTTACATGATTATTTTTCCAAATCTTCTCGAAATATTATTCCATTTTGAACTTGTAACGCACGTAGAGCTTTGCTCAGGATGATCGAGATCATTTACAGTAGCAGAATAATGGCAATTAATTCAATTTAGTTCAATTCTAAACTTTTATATCACATAATTCTTACAGTACTTATCAACATTTATACTGATTCTTGATTAAGAGAACACAGCATACGCGAAAAGTTTGTCTACTGACAAAACGGAAAATAAGCGAGTCCGAGGAGGAGAAAAGATGGAGCGAAAAGAGGAAGGAGACGAAATATCCGATAAGGAAGAAGGAGAAGAAGGAAAACGGGTGTCTGAATTATACAGATTAACGACGAAGAAAGACACACCGAAGCCAAAACGACTTGTGGACTTCCTATTCTTAATACTCTACCTATATACAACTCTTAACATGCTCTCTGTCTCTCTCTCTCTCTCTCTCTCTCTCTCTCTCTTTCTCACTCTCATTCTTTCTCTCGCGCGCGCACTTTCTCTCATAAATGCTAAAACGACCCACAGCCTCGGTAAATGTTACAAACATCTTAGACTTCGGCGTCACGCAACGTACATCAAAGCGATCTATACACGATGCAAAATATTATAAACGAACTATAAAAATTAATCTCGATAATGTTAAGCGCATGCGACCCACGTGGCGTGAACGGAAAGTCTCTAAAATCAATCCGATGTGGAACGTGTTAATTGTTTCTACAAATATATTTTAAAACATGGCGTAATTAATATCAAAATTTATTAGTTTCCAAAGTTTAATATAACGAGATTTAACGAAATTATATCAATATAATAATATTATTAATAATTATAATATTAATAATTATAATAATATAATTATATAATTATATAATACTAAATTGAAACATTAATGAATTTTAACGTATATAGATCGCTCTATTCCGTTTATCGCGTTTTGCGACTAATAAAATAGAACAACTACGAGGGTTGCTCGTGATTCTCGCAAGCACTACGGACGGCCCCATGATCGCTCCTGATTTTACCGCGTTGTTTAATGATATTAATCAAGAACTCGTCCGCATTTTCATAATCGCTTTATAATAGTGCAGTGTAATCCGTCAAGGATCGATATCAGAAATCGAATAAACAACTGGGACTGTGTCCTTCGTCTACGATAGACACTAGCAATCAAACGATAAACTGTCTTATTTCATTCGCTTCTCCCTTATGTCTGATGTTGATGAACGGGGCTGTGGTGTTGCGACCACGAGGGCGGCGATAAGTGATTAAAGTTGACCGATATCGTAACTGGATGGAGAACAATGTCAGGCCCGGTGTCCGGGATGAAACTCAGGTAGGGCCTGATCATGGACGCCTCGACTGTCAACGGTACGTAGAAGGAGCCGGCGTCGTGTAGCGCGAAGATTGGTACCCCGTGCGACGACGAGGACGGCGGCTTGTCCAGACCGACACCGTTCGACACCGGCGACGAGCACGACTTGATCCTCTCGGCCGAGAACCTCTGCTTAATCGAGCTCTTGAACTTGTAATTGGTCGGTCGACAGGAGACGGCGCCGGTTCCGGGTGGCGTGCTGTGCGAATGGGTGCTGTGATTGCTGTCGTCGCTCACGATCGTCGGCGGCGGCACAATCACTGATCGTAACAGGGGACGCTCCGGGTCACCGAAGGAGCTCACGCCCGAACTCGAGCCGTGATCCGAGTGACCACCGTTGGGCTGGCACATCATCGCGATGCTCGCGTGAGCGTAGCCGCTGCCATTCATCGCGCCGTTCGTCGCCGGCAGCTCGGGATGCGGAAAGCTCACTCGATCATCTGGAGCAAGATATCAGGAAACGTATACAACTCTATCCATTACAGAGAAATGCTGAAAACTGAATGGAAATGAGATGCTTAGATTCAAACAACTCTTCATGATAATGACTAAATGTCTTTATCATAATACACAATAAAATTCCCCTTTTCAAACTGTGTTACAACTAAGAAAAATATATAGGCGATTGTCCAAGTGAAGAGTAGTCTTAATCAATGATGTCTTTAGAAAATTGAATACAGAAATGATACGTACTGGCAAAGATCTTGTCGCAGTGCTGTTGCAAGTGATTGTAAAGTTGTACGCAGAGAGTGTCTCTCGCGAAAAAGCCTTCGACCTCCTCGAGGAAATGCATGGTTTCGTTCAGGCACTCCTGAAATCCCAGCCTGTAGTGATCCGCCGCGGTAGACGCGGCGGTCGAATGGGACACGCTGTCCACGCTGTCCTCGGGATGCGTGTGCACTGGTGTCACGGACGAGTGCTTGGTGTCTAAAATAAAAAAAACATTGTCATTCAACGATCGCAGGATAATGGCACTGACGTGGAAGAGTGATAGAGGGCAACATTTACAATTCGCGGTCTATGAATATCAATATTTCTGCGATCTACATAATACTTGTAGATTGACTTGTAGAGTGACTAGAGTGCTCCAACTTGCGAAAATAGAACGCGTGTTGCGTAACATTTCCGTTTACCGAGATGATATTGCTCGGAAGAATTGCGGTTGAATCGATTACTCACCTTGTCGAAGGCCTTGAAGATGCTTCATGTGACGGATCGCCATCTCGATGATCTCTGTCTTTTCGACTCTGCCTCGACCCTTCTTTAAATATTCTGCCGGTATGAGTCTACTGAGATCAGCCAGACAATTGTTCATGCGATCTCTTCTACGCTTCTCAATGATCCTATGTGACATTGGATCTTGCTACAACACAGAAATAAACAGATTATTCAATTATTTGTCAAGCACAATAACATCTTAGAATCAACAATTGCTCTTCACGTATAATCTATATTCTATGACTAATATTTAAAAAATGAGCATTTAATATGTGATAAAGAAAATTCAAAATACACAAATTTTTCTGATTAAAAAAAATCATTGCCAGCTGTTTTTATATAATATTAAAATGTATTTAAAATCATAAAGAATCTATAAAATATTTAAATATAATATTTGAATAATTAAATATTTATATAGATTTAATAAATATATAAAATATATTTACATGTATATAAATACATAACAAATCTGCAAAATATTTAAAAAATGCGAAAATACTTGTGTCAAGGAATTTTGTTAAAAAATATTTACATAAACGTACACTTAACTTTTTACTTATTGTTAGATTGCAGTAATAATAATCGCGATATAAGTAATAGGAATTAATTGAGAGACATTTAAAGTATCCATCAAATACAGATAAATTTTTATGACATAATATCCTAAAGATTTATGACTTAATATCCTAAAGATATTATAATCGCGCGAAAACAAAATCAATGTAATCTCACGTTGAGCAATCACTCCGACGTTCCATACGCATTAAAACAACGTCGCCAAGAGGGATCACAATTACAATATCGCGCGCGGATTAAAGCACGATATCATTTTTAAAGGTCATGTCGTGATCCGTGGTTGGAGCGATTATCTGTACGTGTCACGCATCACGGTCTCGAGACACGTATGGCGCTTAATTAAATAATCACTTTTCGGCGAAATATCCGTTCATCGCGCGAATAAAAATCGCGAAAAGATAATGTTGAACGCTCAGGCACGAAGCGATATGAACGAAGAAAATCTCGCTAATCTCCCTTCGACGAAATTTTGCGAAAATTTTTTTTTCTAATTTTACTTTCGGAATCGAATTTTTTAAATAAATTAAAACAAACGCATATATTAAATTATATTTTTCAGCCCCAGTCGCAAAATTGAATTTTTCAAAACTCATTAAAAGTTCCAATTATCTCATCATTTTACTTGCTTGATGCTCAGCAAGATTTCCATATTTGTGTTGTACATTTCGAAAGCAATATAATCGAAATTTTTTGTCTTTAAATAGCTATCTATATCACGCCTCCCTCCCTCCCCTTTGACCCCAAGTTATACATAAAATCTTATATAACTATCTTGTATCTTAAAAATTGATTCGCCATCACTATTTCAAAACAACCAATATTATTATTAATCGTAATTTATTTCCCCGAGATAATCGTTACAAGAACACGCGATTACTTTTCGAAAACACATGAATGTTTACTAGATACATAAAACTTTGTAAGAGACTGGAATAATCCGGTTGCCCCGTAATTATGCGTTTAAAATAGCAAACGGACAAAAGCAGACGTCACAATGACAACTCGAGTTTCGCGTTAATTTACGAGCGCGTAGCATTCAAACAACGGTAACATAATCCTCATTCCTGGCGCGCGGCCAGCGCAACATTTTCCATGAAACTCTCATTCATGCTAAATTACGCAGGCAGTCGACGCGCACGTCGACAATAAGGGCAAAATGACGTAGAAGCGAGATAAATCGAGACGAAAGGACAATGATAATTTCAAAGATCTTCTATAATATAATCACAATTTCAATTATCTTGAAACAATCTTTATCTGGACAAAAATTTAATTTCAAAAAATGTTAAATAAAAATTTCATTAAAAAAATATTCCTTTATGATTTTGTAATTTAAAAATTTAACAGAGATAAGTGTTATTATTAAAAAAGATAACATTAATTAAAAGAAAAATTGTCTCCGAATTAAAAAAAAAAGTTTGAAGATTATATAATAAAAACTTTTGATTGTGTCTCAAAACAGTCTTAATATGAAAAATTTAATTATAGATATATTATTCTTTTTTTATGTCTTTGTATAATTTAAAAATTTGACACATAATTAAATATTATTATTAAGATTATTATTTAATATTATTATTATATTAAGATAAAATAAATTAAGGGGGAAAAACTAGATAAATTCCAAGATGTGTGAAAGAATGGATTTGACGTAATAACTTTTAGAAGAATTTTTAAAACATGTCACTATGAAACTTTAGCGCTTTCTTTATGTGCGAAATATCGATTTCGCTCTTTCGAACTGACGGAAATATATTCACCTCTTTATTCAAACAACGTCTTTTCCTCGGTGACGGCGAGTGCACCGATATATCAATGTGGCTGTTTGTCGGATAATACTGCATGTTCAGGATGTTATCCATACTGTGCGTGATCATCCTCGAATAACGAACACGGATGGAAAAGAGAAAGAGATCTCCTTATTGAGTCTACGTCGACAAAGTTTACGGAGCAAACAACGGTATCGATTATTCGCTCTTTAATTCCGAGCCGATTTCGTGCTGGATAGAAAGTTCACTTTCGTAGAGCGAGCTTTTCCCACGTGGACAAAACTTGCCTCCCAATTCTTATCTTTCTCGGTCGATTCGCACAAACAGTCTTCACACTATATTAAATTATTATTACCGGGCACTTTAAATTCGTAGCAGTCATTGCTTAATTCAGTTCAAACTGATTTCCAGATGACACGTGGCGTATATTCGCTTTCGTGTTTTAAACCTTATATTTTTGGTATATTATTAATATTACTATTATTATCGCGAAAATGTATTCAGTCAAGAATTTATTTAAATTTATATATATTAAATTTATATATATTTTTACTAATATATATTATTATACTAAAGAGACATCACGTATATATCTCTTACACAATGCTCCAAATTATTAGAAAAATTATTCAAAGTACGATGATGCAAACAATAACAAATTGTAAGACTCGGTGAACGATCGCTCGATCTCCACTTGACACTCGGAGATGCCTCCTGACCGAACGTATCGTGTGCTACGCGTGCTCGCGAATGGCAGGCACGTCGACGACTAGGATCGACGAGCCGCGACCCGCGTTTCTTCTGCGATCGGGAGGAAGGGAGACGTCGCGTCGTGCCCCGCCGATGCCGCGCCGAGTCGAATCGAGTCGACGGCGGGGCATCACGTGTCGGAAACACGATGCATTACGCCAAACACGTGAGGCAACACGCGTATCCGCCGCGCCACGCTGACATGAGCCGAGAGAGCTCCGACCGTCTTGCTACGACCGCGAACGATAGCCCCAATATATCTATCCTCATTGATCGCCTTCCGGTTCGACTCTCCTGGTTTTCCCTCAATTTTCGTATCTTTCCAGCCGAGTTACGTTTCTAAACATTCATGAATTATTTACGAACACGTATCGCGCGAAAATTCTAAGAAAGAGACTTTACATTCACTTAACACAGAACGTTATACGATAGACAATTCTGCGCGATAAGTATGTATATTTTGTAAAAATGTTTTTCTTAAAATAAATTTAATTAATTTATAAATTTACAAAGAATAATAAAATAAAATAAGTGTAAAACTTTTTCAAATAACAAAATTTCATTTAAAAATTAAATTTAAAAAATAAAATAAATTTAGAAAATATAATAAAATGAAATTCATTTTAATTAATTTCGATGAATCTTTTTAAATCTTTTTAAATTACACATTTTATTATTATTATGTAAAACCGGCTATAATTTCAATAAAGCATCTTATAGCGCGAAAAAATTTAATACTAACAAATATTATGCATAAATGCTGCTAATAAATGTATATACATATCATTTTATTTATGTTAATTATTTCCATAAATTATATCTCATTCAACGCTTTACATATTGCAAAAGATCAGACAGGCCAATTTTCTTATTAAAGCAAGAGATTATCAATTAATCAGTACAAAAAAGTTTACACACGTTTGATATGTAATTTTCAACGTGTCTTGCTGTATGAGTCGTAAACATATTAATTGAAATAATTAAATACCCATTTATATATTCATTCTGTGATTGCATATTTAATTATTAACTGTCAGTAATTTTGCTCAACACATATACTCGTATCACGGAGCATTTAATAAAAAGATTGTTGATTAATATTAATAATAAAATTACCACATGTGACGCGAGTAATTAAATATTAACTTGAAGACGAATAAATATTCAATTGGTACGTATATTATGTATTTCAATTTATCCAAAAGCATCAATAATGGATATCGATTTAGTTAAGATTGCTAAATAATTTCTCAAGAAATTATGTTAAATTTACTAAAAAAGGGACAATCTAATGCCTAGTAACCAAGGCCTCTCTTTCCTTATACACTAAATTAAAATCTGAGTAATCACCATTGATAAAAATCATGTAATATTAATTCCTGGATTTATCGATTCAGCTTGATAATATTAACTGCAATTTAATTGTCTGACTGACTATTAATATATCAATCATTCTAGCAAGGTATTTATTTACTGTAGATTCCAGACACATCGTAACAGCATCATTAACATTTATTAAAAACTCATAAACGAGAGCAATTTAATTGCAATGCTTTACGATCTGTTTATTACTTTATGTCCTTTATAAATCAATTCTTTAGCGTTTAATTTACAGAAAATTCGATAATTCTTGATGTGTTAAATAACTTTGCAATTCAAATTTTTTATTAAAATTTTTATTAAAAGAAACATCTCGGTTTTAATTTAAAAAATGCTATATGCGTAACATTCTAATTAAAATTGTATTGAACTGAAATTGACGCTATAAGAGCTTATAATAGGTCAATAAAGGATTTTCGTTTCTCCTTATTGAATATAAACAAAACGTCATTCCACAGCATGAGTTTGTTTTCGCCAAAACTGACGTAATTACATGCGTTTCTTCCGCGAAATAAACAAATTATTCTGTCCTTATCTCGCATGTAAAAACGCATAAAACAACGTTGTTCAGCTATCTTCTGACTAATCTTTGCCTGAGTTATCGATATTTCAAAGTCTGATTTAATATACGAATAAGTGTCGAGACAAAAACACATACATAACATTG